CAAATAAACTAACTGAAATATCAACTATATTAGGCAATAAAACGTGAAATAACAATACAATTAAACGGATAAAATAATCAAGATGCATCTCAAAAAATTAATCGAGAAAGATTTCAAACCTAGTAACTTCACGACGTTTCAATTGTTAGTATACACAATCGTCTTTGGGTGATGACTGGATTACGCCTCGGAGAGATAACCATTCATTGGCCATTCGTGTACTTTCACCTTTACCGTTTTTCCCTCTCCGCTTCACCAGTTCAGAAGGACTTGACTGTTTGGCTGAAGTACAGATTTCCATATATATCGTATCTCTACGCTAGCTGAGCTGAATGCAGATTCATTGAATTTCCTTTCAAACCTGTGTTCCTTCCTGTGGATGATCTCAGCTTGAGACCACTCAGTGATATGTTGATAGGTCCAAACATGCTCAATTATTCCCCATTTGCTGGTTTCTCCTCGCTGTGTTTTTTTTGTGCTCGGCAAAGCGGACTTGCAATAGACTCTCAATTTAACCGAAAAAGGATTCTTCGCACTCACAGGCTATCCGGTCAATGCAAATCTTGGAACCGCGTTCCGCGTTTGCTGGCGTAGTTTTCGTGAGGTTGCTGCGAATGGTGTTTCCGAATCTGAAGCAGGTTCTGATGTTATATTCAGACCCAATTCTTTAATTTTTTCGATAATCCCCCGACGTAAGGAAGTACAAGTGTTGGATCTTCTCCCTTGCGAGGCTCTGGCTCTCTTCTAGCCAAAGTCTGTTCTGGAGTAACCATTTCGTTGAAGATTTTTTTTGATGATGCCTATTCCCTTTCCGAAACCGTCCTTCAATACATCGAAATCACGATACACTATTTCTTGATGATTACTTTTTCGGTATATTGATGTTGGTTGGATTCTATTCACCAACACGTCTGAGAATGGCAATTTGTTGTGGTCTACCTTTTTCATTGTGAAAGTAATGACATGTATACGATCAGGAAACTGTCTAGTTCTGTATTCCCATAGTTCCATACTATAGAAGGGTCGTCAACGTATCTCAACTAGAGTCGGGGCTTCTTCTGGGCTTCTTCAATGGCCAGAGTTTCAAACCTCTCATAGATATGTTGGCTATAACTGATGAAAGTGGCGATCCGATTGGCAGTCCTTCACCTTGCGTAAATAATTCGTCCTTCAGTTGAAAATGGCAGTCCCATACACAGCATCCTATTGATTCTATGATTACTTCAATAGGTGAGTTAGTTCTATCCTCCAGATCCTCGTCTCCGGAAAGATTCCACTATATAATTTGAAGTGTCTCTTCAACGGGAACGTTGATGTCAAAGCTTTTCACGTAGGAACTGATTAATTGATTCTGCTCTGTGATTTCGATTGCCCCCAGTGATTCCACAAAATGCCTAGAAGAATTCCTCGAACAAAATTAAGTTTTTTCTTGGTCTTATTATTGGTCTGAGCGGAACACCCTTCTTGTGGATTTTGGGAGGTCCATACATGTGAGGGGGCTTAGCGATGATCATTTTTGAAAATAGGGAATATCATCACCAACACAGCAACACAGAATGAGTTATTCTTGGCATTTATCGGCGTTTCGATGAAGTAAGTAAGTAACGTAACAATCATGACAGTAATGAACATAACCGTTTATCTAAAAATATTCGATACATGTTCACGTTCAATCAATTATCATTTTCGGTATAACTTCACTGAAGGGCATTGATGTTCAATAATTTATATATAGGTTCCACTCACTCTCCAATTCAAGTTTGATCCTGTACCTGCGTTGCTTTCATCCTGGGGAGAAATGCTATATTTCCTTGGGGTGGAGTTTTTTTGCAAATCGTGATTTCCATTAAAATGATTCAGTATTGCAATATTTTACCTTCAATGACTGTATATATAATTTGGTTATTTCGAATCCACAAAATGTACTGACAAAATTATGATTCGGAAATTAAAATCAGGAGATGATTTCTGAAGCACCATGACCAGAGAAAAACGTTATATTTGTAAAATGATTATTTATGTAATATCATCAATTCAATACCATCAGGTTTTTCAAAAAATATTCTTTATGTTTTCCTATCATAAAATGACTAGAACATCGGAAGGAGCCAACTTATTTTGTATTTCAGTTGAGAATAAAACGGATCACTTTTCTATATTTTTAGTTCACTTCAAGCTTAAAATATAAGTTGCTTTATTTCGTATTTCTAACATTTACAAAGTATTCATTAGTGAAAATATTCACTAATGACAGGATTTTGGGGACAATATAGTGGAAAAGGTAACAAATTTTCATTCGGATAACTGGTAATAGTAGGTAATATTTTTTACTCACTGTTTCTGAAATTTTTAAGCATGAGGACTCTTCAAAAACTCTCATTTGGAAATATAACAATCAGCTCTACTTCGTACCTGTATATTCTCTCAGATGAAACTTTTATAATGTCGCTAGTATAATTATCATCCGAAAATAACTAATATTTCAATTAATTTTGCTGTTCCACCTCACATTCGCGATCTACCGAGACAAAATTCTGGGAAACCTTCTTCGTGTCTATATTCGCGCATGAACTGAAAATGTTTCTGCAGTTTCCGACACTTATATGACTTTTGGGTGATTCTGAGTCGACGCGAAGAACCGTCTACTTGTTGATATTATGTTTCATTGGGTTTTGAAGTTTTCAGTGGTTCATATTTCAGAAACTACATGATACTGATGTTATGAAGCGTGATTTAAAATTTGTTCCAGAACGTTCCAAAGAAATTTCAGATGCGCGTTCAATTGTAAATCAACTAATGACATCGTTTTTTTGGAACTTTGATTTTCATAAGGAATATCTAATCGAATTTTCACCATACTTCTCAATAATAAAAATAAATTGCCTGAAGATTATGAAATGTATTTTCGTGAAATAACTGAAAGTTCAGATTAAGATTCGACTATGGAGAGTCCATATTTTATTTGTGAAGTAAGTGGAAATAATATGTTTCAATTCAATAGATATGACATTAGACATGAAGTTTTTATCACAAGCAATCCGTATAATATAAAATAGTTCGTGAATAGCGATAACGCGCCAATACAGCCATCTAAAGTTGACATTCATTTATTCTTCGAAAAATATTTCATTACTACTGTATTCAGTTTCTTCACTTCTATCGATAGTTTAGGACTGGGAGACTATTTTTCAATATCAAGTTTTATGATGTTGACGATGAAGTCACAAATACATATCACCTGAATACGTTATGATGATGATAATGATTTTTCATCTATTATTGATCATTTCAATCACATATAATTACATCTCCGATGATGAAACGGATATCAAAAATGCACTCAAAATGCTATAGCTGATCCTTGGTGATTTTCTTTATTTTCAAGAGTTACTTATCAAAGAATGATCGAGAAATTATTTTATTGAATTGATTTTTTGGGCATGGCTTACTGTCATAAAATGGAGCTTGATTGGTAATACAACAAAATTACTTACTACCTCAGCTATATCCTGCTTAGGATGAATTTGAGTTCATCAAGTAGGTAAATGAAGATAACAAATAAATATTATGATATTTTATCTTAGTGATACCATTCCAGTCAAATTTTCAATTGCGTATTTTATATGCATCAAGTGAGTTTCAAACGAATCGAAAATTAAACTATCAGTTTTACAAAAATTCATTAGATTTACCCCACTGATTGGAATCTTACGCAAGATATGATTCTGATATGGTTTTGTGAGTGACTCCGATTCAATTCAAAGCAAAAGAATACAAAAACACTCAGAAATTTGAACTGCACATAAGCGATTCTGACTCATTAGACGCCATCTCTGATCGAAATTACAAAATGCGACTGTTTGTTTGCAATTTGGATCGCAATGTGGCGTACAGTTGTTGCGAAAAGTGTGTCTGAAGTGATTTCCACTGCCTCATCAAAAATTCAGAACAAATACAATGATGCATGAAAAATAAATGGTAGGTGAAAATATTTTCGAAAACAAACATCAATCACAGTATCGTAAAAAAAATGAAAACTTCACAATCAGACCATCAGTTTATTACATTATACAAATCATCACAGAAACTATCAACTGAGGAACATGTATCAAACTATAAGTGAAAGATGAAGATATCAGTCGAGACCTAGTCACTATAAAAGTGAAAATGGAAAAATGACTATGGATGTTTACTTTTGAAAAACTGTTAGATGGAACTGATCATACCAAGAACGAAAATCATACATTAGTAAATCAACTAGTCCAATTAGAAGATCAACAAAATGAAGAACGACCACCCACACGAAATCAAATTAGGAACACGATAAACAATCCGAAAAAAGAAAAACAGCAATTGGTTGAACGCGAAAATGATAAAAATGGAACACATCATTAATTACGTATTAAATTTCCGGTACTCGCCTGAATATTTTCCAGCGACAACGATATTTTTATTCCCAAAAATAATCGAAATACATTTATTTTGTTCACAACGTGTAATAGGAAACTCGATAACTACTCATAGACAAATGAGTTAGTTTTGTACGCAGAAATAGTAACTTATTCAGAATGAAATGAAAAAATAAAATGGAATAATCGAGTTGAATTATGGAAAACAAAAGCAACACTTCCTGGAGATACTTCAAAAGAAATCTTTCTCTTATTCTTTCTCATGTCATGAATATAGATATTTCACCTCACTTTCACTGCAACACATTCAATAATTCATTATAATTTCAAGTATAAATTTCAAAATTTGGGTACCTGAAAACTTTTTTGAATTGATTCTCTATTGCTGATTAATGTTTGCTCAAAGTTTGCATGTTTCTAGCCTTATATCTGATTGCAATTAAATAAAAAAAGCATTTTGCAATATTGGAACTATTTCAAATCATTTCAACATTCCGTTCATTTTCATTTCATTTATTTTTCCTGAGTACTACGAATTTGGCCGATCGTACTTGTAGAATCATAATTTATTCAATTATCATTCAAAAATTATTTTATACCAACTCGTTTCTTGGGTCAACGTTTTATTAATCAAAATACATAATATTGCTTCTGTTTACGGAAAATAAATTATATACAAAACATCACATGAATGAAAGATAATGAATACAAAAATCAACAAATGAACATAAAATGATATAAGAAACTTAAGACACAGTGGCAACTACATCTGGTTTCTTTTGAGTGAATGGATTCGTGATGAGTCTTGCTACATTCTGGAGGACAGTTATGGGAATCTGAAACAGAAAAAATTAAACGTTAATTGGTTGTTGCTTTCAGATTCAAGTTGCAAATATCAAATAACTCTTAGCTTCAGTGGATTACACCAGTTTTGTCTACTCAAAATTTTCTTTTTTTGAATTTCAAGGTTTTGAGAATCAATGGGGAATTTCTGATTTATTCGTAAAGTTGCTGTCATATTTAATGATTTATTCATTTATTTATTTCACCCTAACAGGTCTGGTGGCCTCATCATAAGGAAGACATAAGAAATATACATGAAATGATATCCCTACAAATCCCTTCGTTTGTTACGGTTTCACGCAAAATCTACTCAACCGATCATCATGAAATTTTGTAAACATGTTCTTGGAGGTATCAGAAGTAACATAGGCTTTATCAAAAAAATATTATTTTTTATGTAAGATGAAAAAAATTTAAATTATTTATTTTTGTTACAGTGAAATACATTTTAACATTTGTTGTTGCAATTCAGTAAAGCATCGTATGTAATAATTTTTAAAAATTGATAATCCCAGCCAAGCATTAAAATGAAGTTCTCATATTGATTCATTTCTATTGTACTGACACTTATTTAATGGCATAAATGCAAGCGAAGCCGCGAGTAAAAGCTAGTATTATATAATACAATATAATATAATCTGGGGATGTATTATTATCTAACAACGAGCAGTACTTATTACAACTCGCAACAACAAAAATAAGAAATAACTTGAGTTCTCAATTGTGGTGTTCTAATGCTGTGTTGTAATCGGGTCTACTACGATATTTCTTATAATACAGGTACCTTGGAAATTTGTTCTGAATTTGTTCCATTTCATTCCAGAACCGTATTCACGTGAAATAGAGTACTTTTATGAAATCTGTGTTTCTAAAAAGGGAAGAGTGTCTTAAAATGAATCCTAAAGCTCGATTTGCGGCATTCCTTACATGTTCAATATGTTTTTTAAATGTTTGTTTGAAGGTGATTGACAATGTTTCATGATGAATTTCACTAGTTCGGACTTCCATTGTCTACTATATAAAATGATTTGAAATCCCTGAAACAACTAAAAAAGAAGAATTGAAAATGAATAGCTGAAAATAACAATTATATTAACCAAAATAAACCTGAAATGAAATAATAGTGAAATAAAATACAAGTAAAAATAGAACAATTGAATAAATAAAAATAAAGAAATGAAAAAAGAAAATAAAAATAAAAAGTGGAGAGATTCCAAGTCACGTTAGTTCACGACGTTTCGATTGTTAGTATCTACA